GTCATGATTAAACACCAGCTGGATTTATAATTACTTTTTTGTGAGGCCGAACATATTTGGTTCTGATGGCTGTATTTACTGGAATATTAGTTTAAACGTATTTATTTTAGCTTGATTGCGAAACAAGTTCTTGAAACTTATGTTAATCAATTTTGAGTCCGTATTGGTATTTTATGAGGCAACATAATAATATGAGAAAACATACCCGAGTAGGGCTCAAACCCATAATCCCTGGGTTGTGAGACAGACAGCTTAACCACTAGGCCACCAATCCCCTTTTTAGAAATATTTTCTGGAAAATTAAAAAAAAATACCATCGAAGATATAAAAATATGTAGTAATGCGGATATTCAACATTATCTAGACTTCAAATGTCATGAATGATGCAAGAATGAAAACAAAAATTTAAAAGCAATAAGTATAAAAAAAGAGGAAATAATCAAATGTTTACTATTAAAGACCCATAATCCCCGAGAAATGCTTTTATTCTTAATTCTTAAAAGCTTTTTATTTTATGTTTACTTTTATAGTTCGGAGCCATCAATTTTTTTTTGCTTTTTTGGCAATTATTTTTACAATTATAGTGATTTAGTATTTTGTATGGAAATCAAAATAATACTTTGTTAAAATTTTGTTACTTTTGTGACAAATTATTTCTCATTTATAGCTACCTTTTTTGGTAACTAGCATCTAACATGCTCCAATACCATTTTTAAGATATTATAAAACTCACGTTTGCCATTTCTAAGGAAGTAAAAATTTATTCGTTTTTGAGGCATTCGTTCATAGCATTTTACAAGTTACTAAAACACTAACATTTTTTATAATTGGCCTTAGGTAGCTGGCAAATAATAATATTTTATATATTTTCATATATAGACAATTAAAGCTTTCGGAAAGATAGAATATTTTGTTAAATACAATTTGGATATTGTTTGAGGTAAGGTTATTTTTTCAGTTATCTTTCAAAACATTTTCTTCAAAAATGTATGTCATTATATTTCTATTCACGTTATGATATCATTATAACTTATTTGATTTCACTCTATTTTGAATAAAAGTGAAAAGTGTTAAGTAGTTTCGAGAAATGTATATTTTTTTTTATATATTTTATAATCTTTTATTAAAGGAATTTATAAACTTTTTTTTATGTGTTTTCATTGAGAAGACGATAAAAAGAACAGAAAAAATATTTGTGTGTAATGTTAGATTTTATTTCTGTGCAATTATTACATTTAGTACAAAAGTGATTCTTGGAGACTGCGCACATTTCGTAAAGACAATTTATTCATTTATTAAAACTGGTTTTTGACTATCGTCAATTATTGCATTTTACACATAAGTGACTCTTGGAGACTTTGTGCCATTTCGTAATTAAATAATATTCTTTTATTAAAACTGTTTTTTTTAAACATTTTTATTTTTTTCCCACAGATGAGGGCGTTTCTAGCTTGTATAATAGTTGTTTTGCTAAGCGACGTGTTCTGCGCCAGCTTACCTCTACCCTCGAACCTTCAGGACGAGGGAAGCAGGTTCGACTCTGCCATTGCCGGTCACGAACGTGTCCGAGATGTAGCACATATGAAGAACACTCAGATAAGAAGAGAGCGAAAATTTTCAAGTTTGAAAAAATATCTAGAAAAACAGAATGGAATTGAAAGGTCGATGACAGACGCGCACGTGCGAGTCAATGGAGAAGCTCGGGACAGAAGGCAAATTTTAAGATCATCTCTTGATTTGGTAGAAGCGCCGATGGAAATACTCAATGCAGAGCGAACGAAAAGAGATGCAATCAGACCAATAGTCAAACGAAGCTTTTCTAAATCCGGTAGGATGCGAGTTCGAATTACCAACAAGGATGGGAGCATACGCTCTTTCAGAAAAAGGAGATCCCAGTAGAAACAAAATAATCTTTTCAGCAGACTCATCGCAACATTTTTTTTCTTGAACACGTTAATTCTAAAAATGAACTTAAAAACAAATTTCAACAAATTATTTTGTAAATGTAAGAAGATCCTCAGCAATATAAAAAGCTGTATTATTGCCTTAATAAATCATAAGATATAAAAAAGATTAAATGCGTTCTGTTGTTTTTCCCGGCATGCTAGTTATGATGAGTCATTTCGTCTGCAGTCGCACAAAATTCGGCCCTTTCCATCAATCTTTGGATAAGTTTTAATGCAATATCGGTAATCGTCGATGTGTGCCGAATGCATGCGTCCGGCCGTTAACAATTATTTTTTTTAATCTAGTCTATCTAAACTATCTATCTGTCTCAGAAAAACTTCCTACTTAAAACGCGTGTAAATTCGACATATTTCTTCAATGCGACAATGGTCAACAATAAAAACCAAGTTTCAGAAATGGCGGAAACTGTCGAATTCATACGAGATCGTATTTAAGTGATTTCCTCGAAAAGGAGTTCCCAAAGAAATTCATGGGGGATTTCTATGCGTAGATTAGATAACGGTTGTCCAATGCAAAACATGGCGTTTAAGAATACCGTGGATTTTTAGGGTCAAGTGACACGTGTTATATATGTTTTGATTGGATTTACGTCACACCGACACAGTATAGGTCATTTGGCGACGTTCCAGCTTTACTGGTGGAGGAAGACCTCAGGTTCCCTTCCGTGAATTATTTCAGGCACGAACGGGCATCTGAGTAGAACCACCGACGTTCCGTAAGCTAGCTGGATAGCTTCCTCACATGAAAGAATTCAAAGTCCCTGACGGAATTCGAACCCACCAGCGGTAAGGGGTGTAATTTAAGATAACACTGCTACAATGTATAATTTGTATAACCAGCATTCACTCTTGTTGATTTTTGAATTTGATACAAGCATAACCTTTTCTCACTTTTGGCATATTTAGGATATATGGGAGCTTTCCGGCTTTAGTGGGAGAGAAAGACCTCAGGTGCTCCTTCCTGCATTATTTATTTCAGGTTATTTAAGCGAGTAGCGCCACGGACCTTCTGCAAACTTCCTCACATGAAAGAAACCAAAGTCCCTGGTGGGATTCGATTCAAAAGCGGCTAGAGGTCAGTGGTTCGAAATCAGAGATCTTAACCACAAGACGACCCAAGGAAGCCTCTGTGCTTTTGACTTAAGACCTACAGCGATATTGGTGTCGTCAATAACGAGCTTTATCCCTAGAATTTCCAAGTCAAATACCTGTGAGAAACAAATTCCACGTGAAACAGGATGCCAGTTGAAGGCTATATTAAATCTATGTAAAACATATAATTTTTAATAATGATACAATATCTATGCTTTGGTGCGGTTTGTATTCGTTTGTATTTTTATGGTTGTATTGTTGCAGTAAGGTACTTTTAATTCACCAGAGCACAGTTCAGCCATCGCATCGTTCCAGGACAGGCTGTCTATCAGTTAACCAGTACTAGTTGCCCTCACCTACGCGAGAAACTGATAACTTTTGTGCATACCAGAGCAGAGGTACAGTGCGGATGACTATAGAATGGAATTCATGATCAATCACGACGAAAGTGATCTGCACCGTCTGGGAATCGAACCAGAGTCACCCGATCCACAGTTCAACGCTCTACTCTGAGATAAACGGACCGTATCATATGTACATGTATTTAATTAGTTTTGGCGGACTATATGACCCAGAATGAATGTTAGTTTATAAATACGACCCGAGCTTGATTGTGACGTAAGCTTACGCTCGTTTGAACCTCTCTCACATAGTGATGGTCCGATTGTCGCCGCTATCCGATTATAGATCGGTATGTTGATAATGTCGCCGACATCGATTGTGGTCGAACAGAATCGATTGTCGCTTATTGTTAATTTTTGTTCCTTTGTGGTAGTTATTTTTCGTAGTTTTTTAGCTTTGCGCTATTTAATTTGAATACTCTTCAATCTTCACGAAAACATCATCAAATGTCTGGAATCATTTTGGTTTCCACAAGATGAATATTTAAGGACCCGCTACCCGTGATGACTTGGACAAGGCTAAAGTTGTGTGCAAGCTTTGTGGTAATGGATATGCAAATAAAGGAACCTCACCCGTTTAAATTAAAATCGGATTCTGATACTGTATTTTACTGTAACAATCTTCGTTACTCTGTACATTTATAATGTTAAATAATAAATTTAAAAGGCTTCTAAACTTATATTTACCATGACACCATTTATGGTACGGCGATTCTGTTATTAAAAATGAAATAAAATAATTAAAATTTTTATGTGAAATGGTAACTTACATTTTTATTCCTGATCATGCATATTAAATTAATTTATTAATCACATTGATACATTTTATCAATTATTGATAGCAGTTATTTATTTATTATAATTTATATGACCATGAATAGTTCCCACAGGAATGGGAACCCTGAATCTCAAAATTTCCTTAGTTTGACCATATTTATTTTAGCTCGATTGTGAAATAGGCACTTAAATAAAAACTTTATTTTTGATTAAATAATTTAATGCTGGCAACAGGGACACATTGATTTTTCTGAATATGAATATGAAAACAACATTACATGTATGTAAACTGTGTCCTGACTGAAGAATTTGTATTTTGTAATACGTTAAACAGACAATTAGATAAAACATTAATTTATATTAAATAAAAGTTATAATGATTTCTTTTTTCTAGTTAGTTATGCTGGAAAACATTCAGTCCGATTATTCCGATTAATTGATCGGAGAGCCTGTCCGATTGTTCCGATTAATCGATTATGAGTTTGTCTTTCGATTCCCAACACTACTCTCACATCTGCGTCCCGAGATCAACCAGCTCCTATGTTATATAAGGTCACATGGTCATGACCCAAGAAGATCTCGAACCCACGACCCCTCGGCGGAGAGACAGACCTGAATTATACCAGTCCCTTGTATTTTTACATATATTATCATGATAAAACTTAGTGGCAAATCTCAAATCTTCATAAACAAGCACATCTGTCATTATGTTAAACAACAGTTGGTGTAAATTCAGTCGCAAAAAAATCAAATATCTATTATAATACGATTGAAATAAATGAAAACAGTGAAAATATAATTATTGTAATTATTGTTTTAAAACGTGGCATACGTAGTTTGATTTTCAGTTGCTGAAGTATAATCATCAGTAACACAGTGCCATTGCGGAGTTTAAAATTTTGTTATTTGCGTATTGAAAGTAAGCTTTTTATTTGTCTTTTTTGTAATTATTTTAGTTTTTGATTGATTCATTTGATATATATTATTTAATTTTACTCGTGTATGGATTTTTTTTATCAAGAATATTGTATTTCAACATTTCTTTCCTATTTTATATTGAATTAAATAAATTCGGTAGTCAAACTCTTGACTGGAAATTTGTGATACAATAAGGTAGGTAAGATATAGTGTTACCTAGATGGTAAAGAATTACCAAGATAAATAATAAGAATCGTTTCCAAGATGGTAAAGTGTTACCAAGATAGTAAAGTACCAAAATGGTATAGTTTACCAAGATGATAGAGTGTTACCAAGATGTTATAGCGTTTCATTTTGTTATCAACATGTTACAGTGTAACCAATATGGTATTATGTTAAAAAAATGGTAACAAGTTTGTATACTTTAACTCTTTTTCAGCATATAACTTTTCTCATTTACGTATTTATTTAAGACATATTTTAATCAATATAACTTATTTTTTTGTACAGATATGACCTCGTTAACGGTCGTTGTCACCTTGATGGTGGTTTTGACGATATCAGGGTCACCTCAGGGAGTTCAAGGATCGCTGGAAAACCTTAATCGTAGAGCTCCCGGAGCGAGTATAAAACCCAACAGGTTCGCTCCGCTACAGCGAAAATACTTAGGTGCTCACACAGACCACAGCAAAAATCTTGTAGGCAGAGCCCTTTCCAAGGCATCGCATGACATACACCTAAAAGATCAGGAAATCGATTTCGGTGAAGCGAACCCCTTTCTTAATAGAGAAGCTCGTGCAAGGAAAAAGGCAGCCAGGAAAAAGGTTGCTAGAAGGTATGAGGAGACCGATTTCAATCCTGCAAACAATCTACTGAATCGAGAAGCTCGTGATGGCAGGGCCCTTTCCAAGGCATCGCGTGACATACACCTAAAAGATCACGAAATCGATTTCGGTGAAGCGAACCCCTTTCTAAATAGTGAAGCCCGTGGAAACGAAAGGTTAGCAAAGAAAAAGGTTGCTAGTAGGTTTCTGGAGACCGATTTCAATCCTGCAAACAATCTACTGAATCGAGAAGCTCGTGCCGGACCAGAGAAGAAGAACAGGAAGAAAGGTTTATACTAGACATACTATGTACAGTTTTACCGACCAGTGGCCTCACATACCCCTAAACCTTTGATAAATTTGACGAAAGAACGGCCATTAACTTAAATATTTACTAGTATTCCTTAACAATCTAAGATTAGATTAAAGTACTCAATTGAAGTTTTTTTGACATAACAGTTGTAAGAAATTCAAATTTTATATTTTTAGGCATTTGGTCCTCAGTGGAGCTCCTTTATTCTGACTTTGAATTTCTGATCATAAACTTTCTATAAAAGAATTCAATGATACATATAAAATACCTTTATTTGTTTGTCAAATAAGTTTCAAATAAGTTTCTAAAAGGACTTCTTATATCTGTAATGTAGTTCAGCTTGAATGAATTAAACTGCAAAGCATTATGAAGTTTTGTTCTTATTTCAATGTACATGTTATGTATTTGAAAAAAAGGTTTGGTAAAATCATTTAAATTAACACCTGTTCATGTCTAAATAAAAACGCACTTGTAAGTACCGTCCGAAGTGGTTCGAGTCCGGTTATCAAAAACAAATAATTTGCAAAATGATTGCAATAAACGGAAGGGAAATGATGATTTCAACAGATGGTAAAACTTCGAAAGAAGACGGTTTGATCAGATATAAGTTTGTGCCTGAAATAGTGTACAGAGGGGCACATGAGGCCTTCCTCCACCAATAAAGCTAGAAAGTCGCCATATGACCTATACTGTGACCCCCTCACACGTACGCAAAATCAAAGAACTGACGCAAATATATCCCTTGTGAATATCATTCTCGTGATCAAGTATAAAAGCCATTCTTACACATTTGTTATTCAATTACTGAACTCCAAGGAAGAATCAACAACAAAGGCACTTCGCAAAACAAAGAATTCACCCAAATTCCCTTAAAAAATGCACAATCAAAATTTTGTTTACACAATTTATTTTGCAGAAATAATGTGTAAGTAAATAAGTTATTTTTCGTGTCAATATTCTAAAAAAAAACCCACTTCATTTTACTTATAAAAGGATCCCCACCAGCACCTCTAACTATATCACCACCACTACCACAACAACCATCACCACTCACTACTACCACCACCACCACTCACTACTACTACCACCACCACCACCACCACTCACTACTAATACCACCACCACCACCACCACCACTCACTACTACTACTACTACCACCACCACCACCACCACCACTCACTACTACTACCACCACCACCACCACTCACTACTACTACCACCACCACCACTCACTACTACTACTTACCACCACCACCACCACTCACTACTACTACCACCACTCACTACTACTACCACCACCACCACCACTCAATACTACCACCACCACCACTCACTGCTACTACCACCACCACCACTCACTACTACTACTACTACCACCACCACCACCACTCACTGCTACTACCACCACCACTCACTACTACTACTACTACTACCACCACCACCACTCACTACTACTACTACTACCATCACCACCACCATCACTCACTACTACTACCACCACAACCACTCACTACTACTTCTACCACCACCACCACCACCACTCACTACTACTACCACCACCACTCACTACTACTACCACCACCACTCACTACTACTACTACCACCACCACCACCATCACTCACTACTACCACCACCAACAACAACACTCACTACTACTACCACCACCACCACCCCTCAATACTACCACCACCACCACTCACTACTACTACCACCACCACCACTCACTACTACTACTACTACCACCACCACCACACTCACTACTACTACTACCACCACCACCACTCACTACTACTACTTCCACCACCACCACCACTCACTACTACTACTACCACCACCACCACCACTCACTACTACTACTACTACTACCACCACCACCACTCACTACTACTACCACCACCACCACCACTCACTACTACCACCACCACCACTCACTACTACTACTACCACCACCACCACTCACTTCTACTACCACCACCACCACCACCACCACCACCACTCAATACTACCACCACAACCACCACTCACTACTACTACTACTACCACCACCACTCACTACTACTTCTACCACCATCACCACCACTCAATACTACCACCACCACCACTCAGTACTACTACTACCACCACCACCACCACCACCACTCACTACTACTACCACAACAACCATCACCACTCACTACTACTACTATTATCAACACCACCACTACCACCACCACTAATATCATCACCTCCACGATCAACACCGCCACAACTACCACCACCACCACTACTATCATCACCACCACTACTACCACTACACTATAACCATCAACTCCATCACAATCACCACCACTACCACCACCACCAATACAAAAACATTCAAGAAGAGAAAACTAAACGTTAAATTTATTTTTTTATTAACAAACATATGTTGTAACATCAATAAGCAGTGGTATTAAAATCGATTGATAATTGATTTATAACATATACCAATGTTTCTCAATACTGCGCGAACGTGTAACGTGTAATTCATTTGTTGATTTGTTTTTGTCAAAGGGCGTTCATCAACTTAAATAAAGGTAAGATGTTCATGTTGTTTTTGTGTAATTTTCATATTTAATTATTTAACATGTAAACATAACTTTTCCTTGCAGAATTTTCTGGTGTATAGTATGTGTATAGCAATAATAATTGCGTGACTTCCACATAACTCATAATCAAACATTTAGTTTTTTCTTCATTAAACTGTAAGCATATACATAATCACACACAGGTTGGCGATGCACGAGTCAGAGTCAGCAACCACGTGCATGTTGAGCGGAAATATAAAAAAAATTCTAACTTATTATTTTCTTGCTTTGAATAATTCTCACTTAGTATATTTTTGCTTTGAATAAAAAACAACTTACATTGAAATAGCTACATGTAATCGCCAAAGACTAGCTCTTAGCTCTACTGGTGGCAACTGCTTCTACCCACGTGACCGCGCCGTCTGATCACGGTCTGTACTGTGCGCTTTTCAGTCTGTACATATTTCAAACTTTTCCCTAAAAATAGTCATCGGAATGGTATAGTCAAGATTGAAAGATGGACAAGTCCATTTCCGATATTTAGCGTTGTTAAATTTAATGATAACGCCGAAAAAGATAACGCAGTATAAAAAAACTAGGGCTTAATTAATTTCAATCGTATTTCAGAGTTTCTGTAAAGCCTTTGATAGAACTGAAACGATCGTCTGCTCATATTTGGATCTTTATTTTGAAGGTTGTTTCCATTTTCCATACATTCACCTTTTTTTTCTAATGAATTACACACAATTAGTTAAATGCGTGTATTTTTTTGTTAACAGAAATGAACTGGCTAATGTTGGTTATTGTCATAATAGGAGTGGTCATGACTACCAGAGCAGAGGATGGTGGCTATGCGTCCATAGAAAATCGTGAGGATCAAAATGGAATTGCAGAAGAGCGCAAAATAAGGGAAATCAACAGTGCTAAAATGTCCAATCTGATAGAACCAATAGAAGCCGGCTTGAGGAACAGAAGAGACATTCAACTGAAAGAAACGCTTCGACGCAGATCTCCCGGGGCCAGTGTCAATCGCAAAAGATTCTCTAGGCGACTACGCAGATATCTTGCCGCCCACACTGATCTAAACAGAAATCTTGCAGGCAATATCCTTTCATCGCATGACATACACCGCAGAGATCAGGAATCCGATTTCAGACAATCAGATATCCTTCTGAATCGAGAATAAGGTGGCAGAAAGAAGGGCAAGAAAACTGTTACTTGAAGGGCCGTGAAGTATCTTTTGAATGAATTGAAAAGTTCAGACCATACCGCTCTGTCAATATGAAGGACCCATTACATGAAAAGGACAAATTATAATAAAAATGATCTTTTTTTTTTAGATTTTAACTTACCTTCTAAGAATCTGTATATGAATTCGAAATAAATCGACAGATATGCATTATAAATTTTCGTTTTGTCTTTATTTAAACAGTGAACATATGTTAATGTTTAGGTTAAACTATGATATTTGATAAAAAGATGATAGCAACATATGTTCATTTCCAATAATCTAAATTTTAAGTCTAGTTGTTTTGCTAATAAATATCAAATGTATTGATCCATCCCATTAAATATTTTATGGAAAAATGAAATCCATATCTATCTTTAACTTCTTCCCCCACTCATTGACCAGGCGCAACTGGTGCTATACGACGAAATAATTAACAAGAGCTGTCCTTAAGACAAGGCGCTCGACTTTTATAAAAAAACTTGCTTGAAAATGGATGGCCTCCATCAAATATTTACATTTCCAAACAATACCTTAAAAGGGTATAGGAAATATGTGGTGGGGCGAAAATCAAATAAAAAAGGGGCATAATTTTATCAAAATCCTAGTCAGAGTTATGCCTACGACGGCAAGCCTCGTTTATACCGCCTAATAGGCGGGTCCCCTCCTGGACGGATATTCCTATCTGAACTGCAACATATGAAAGATATTATTATTCTATTAAAATACGATCAGTGAACACGAGACCTGAAGGTTAAAATGATAAAAAACATTGTTTATGTGGACATTATATTTGGTAATACATAGTATAAAATATAACAAATTTTGTTCTATTTCAATTGAAAGCAGGTTTATTTACTGCAGAATCAATAAATGAATACGAAATGAATAATGATTTTCAATATTCAGTCATAAGAAAATAAATACTACAGAATGGAATAGAAAAATAAAAAAAAATAGATTCTCAAATAACTGAACTCGGAAATGCTAATATTCAATCATGCTGGTTTTCTTTTTATTTTGAAACAAACAGTTCACCGGCCATTATCAAAAGTAGCAGTGGCAGAGAAATCGATTGCAAACAAATATTTACTTAAAAATAAAGAAGAAACTTTATCAATAAAATAAGCTAAATTGCCTGTAATTTTCATCGATCTTATAACTGTCCCAAAGTTTTTGTTTAAGTTCCAAAGGTTTCCCCGAGTTTGCATTCAGTAACGAAAAACATTTCAAGTATATCAGTATTAACAGTGATATAATCTCAATCATAGTAAGTTTTATACTTTTCTTATTTTGTCTGTCGAAGATCACTTTTACTATTTTGTCTTTTACTCGCAGGCAAATATTTCATGATAAGTATCTCTGTTTCTTATTTCTACCTTAAATAAATAAAAATTCCGTTTTTATTTTTACGACTTTAATATATGTGAACACGTATGTCGTATTATCAAATTCAATTGACATATTTATTTCTGATAAATCTGATATAAACATTACCGTGCCCTTTGATAGTTGTTCGTGTTTCCAATGAAAATTTTAGGCATTTTTTTTCTTTTCAGTATTACATCGACTAGTTCTTCGTTTCTTAACAAATTTATTGATAACCAATTTTAAATATTTTAAGATCAAAATGCTAATATTGAATACGCGATAAGTTTTTGATAGGTTAAGAATGTCAGGATGCAATAAATAGCAACTGGTATAGTCGTCATCACTGCCTGCGTTAATGGAGGTGTTGTTATATTGAACTTCAATGTTTGTCAGGTCCTTCGGAATCATTGAGTCCAGCACTTAAACGCGTTGAAGATTGAGCATCGCCCAAGCCGGTGCTAGGGTGCGTGAGGGATGTTGCAATTTTTCATTATCCGTCATGTACAGACTCAATCAAACCGAGTCGGCATTTTTCATGTAATTTTGTTGTGATTTATGCTTCCGATGGATCACTCATTCTACAGATTTTGCAACCAGCTGGTATTCTGCAATGACATTTTATTTTCTATGTACAGATAATTGATTTTTCGAAAAAAAACGTGAAAAGAAAATTATTTGTTACTACATCATTTCCCTTTCTACTTTTGAGGGTTGAAAACATAAAAATATAAAAAAAATATGTTAAGTTATGCATTGACAGTTATTCATTTTTACGACAACTTCCCATATCTTAAACTTTACTTATTTAGCAAACGCATCAATATGGAAGAGGCGCGTTAGCTAATGTTATAACTCGTTGTCAAGTTCTTTTGTTACTTTAGTCTTTATATAATTACATCATATAAATGGAAACATACAATAAATTATTTATAAACTAACATTTTTGAAACAGTTGTACATAATGACTTATACTCGTACATGTAATATCAGAAAATGAACAAACTTACGTTGGTTGTTGCGGTGATGGTCATACTCACAATTTCGAGGGCGCAGGAAGAAGTTCCAAAAGCGCAGACGACACCTAAACCCACAGAAAATCACAGAGGAAATGACGCCGGTGGTTCAGATACCGAGTCACGGTTACACTCAATACATCAAAGATTCATGGCAAAAGCTGGAGAAATCCCACGTCGTAACCATAGAAACCTTGGACACCATGGAGGACATGCGCAATATTAATTGGAATGTTTACTTATTGCATCTTATTTCACATTGCTCTTTTTTGTGCTTGACATACAAATTGACATACTGATAATTAACTTTAAAAACACTTGTGACCTGATGTTGTTGCTTTTAGTAATACCTTATGGCACCAATGACGTATGAAGGTCAAATAAAGATGAATCATGGGAAATCTTCTAGTATTTCGGCTTTAACTGTACTTTCCGTGAAATAATTCATTCATTGTAGTATATTGTTTTTATTTTATATATCAATAGCAAAGCGTAATTTTATAATAGATCTTTGGATACTTTACTCGGCTGCCCTAGTATAGATGCCCTAGTACATGTATGGTGACTGTTAATGTCCCAAAGTCTAACGGGAAGACAAAAACAATTTTATTTTATATTTCATCAACATCTTTAAGTTTGTATGATAAAAATCATGCATGAATAGTGTTTTACACAAACTTAAAGATGTTACGTTGTAAAAATACTTAGGGCCACCTTTGAATAATTAATTTATTCTTGATGTACAAACTATTTTTTCTGAACCACAACATCCATATATTCGTCCACCATCATATGAAACTAGGTTTTTTATTTAAAAGATAGGCTTTTAACTATCAAAGTAATAGATCCTTAAAATTTACATGAAATCTTTTTCTTGAGTGAGGAACAAGCAAACTCAGACATCCTTTCAAAACTACAACAAGAACATTCACGTGTCGCCTCATGATAGTCAATTGCAAGGCAAAAACGGTTTTTATTAAAGGGCCATAACTCAGTCAAATGTTATTCAACTGGGAAACTTGTGTAATATGCACAGTCAAATTCTTGAGCTACTAATCAATCCTGTTAAGTTTCTTTGAAATTGCACAAGTGGTATAAATGAGAAGTCCGGAAAAAATCATTAAAGGCCACATCTCTGACAAAAATCATTGGACCGGAAATGCTGATGGTATGCACAACTAGACTTGGTATTATTCATTCCTGTATTGTAAAGTTTAGATAAAATTGCACAAGTAGTTTCTGAGGAGTAGTCCCGACAAGTTTTGTGACAGATGGACAGACAGACGACGGAGAAGTGATCCGTATGTGGTGGGCGTCACAAAAAGTGAAAGCAAATCTTTAGACCACAGAACAATGATCTTATGTTGTGTTGCAACACAACTTTTGAAAATGATAAAAATACAGCTGTAGTTTCCTGCCTTTATTTCAACATAAAATAAATGCATCGCTCAAACAGCAAAATGTAGATAAATAAATTAAGTATTACAATATTATGAATGTACATGTATGTCCCGTTCTTAAAACTAGAAAAAAATCACACATTTCCCCTGAATATATTTAATTCTTCATTTTTTTTTATTTATCCCAACACTATGTTTCTCAAAAAAACATGTACATAAAATTAAAAACTAGACCTATCACTGAAGGTGATTAATACCCCCACCAGCAACTTTGACTTTTTGAAAAAAAAGTAGTCTGAAGAAAAATTTAAACACAAACTTATAATATACCAAGTTTGATTACAATATCTCATTCCTAACTCTAGCTATTGTCTGGAAACAATTTTTCTATTTTAAGTAACACTTTAACCCTAGGGAGTCGAAATGCAATACCAACCCAGGTCTTCATATAAGCTTCCTATACACCAAATTAGATTACAATATCTCATTCCTAACTCTAGTTATAGTCAGAAAACCATTTTTCTATTTTTCCTTACGGTGACCTTGACCTTGACCCCAGGGGGCCCAAATGCTATACCAACCCAGGTCTTTATATAAGCTTGCTATAGGCCAAGTTTGATAACAAGATCTCATTCCTATCTCTAGTTATTGTCCGGAAACCATTTTTTCTATTTTTAGTAACGGTGACCTTGACCTTGACCCCAGGGGGTCCAAATGCAATACCAACCGGAGTTTCCACATAAGGTTGCTATATACCAAGTTTGATTATAATACCTCATTCCAAACTCTAGTTATCGTCCGGAAACCATGATATGGACCGACCGACTCCTATATACCCCCCCCCCCCCCAAACTTCGTTTGTGGGGGTATGACCGACCGACCAACCGACCGACAAGCTGACTCCTATATACCCCCCCTCTTAACTTCGTTTGTGGGGGTATAATAATATCAAGAAACTTAATCACATAAAGTTTGAGAGATACCTAGAAGTTAATCTCACAATATTTTTTGCTCTCTCTTACATTTTTATTAAATTTATTCTTATTATAATGTTTACAAAATAAATATGTACATGTACATGTATTGGTACCAAGCAACCAGGTTTATGCTTTGTTATATTTAACAAAAGGGTTTATGTAAATATGGTACCAGTTTTTAGCTCAACTATTCAAAGAATAAGGTGAGCTATTTTACTCAATCAGACTCACACATGGATAAAATATCTAGAAGTACGTATGTATCTCCAAAATTATTGAAGGAATACGTTGAAACTTCACATACATGTCCTCAGTGATTATATAACACAATAGGCACAGGTTCTATAACTCTGAATTACCCTTTTTTACAGAGTTATGTCACTTTCCATACTGTCAAGCTCCGAGATTAGTCGAGCTCATTGTCTTGCTTAGATACAAGAATTCATGAACAAGAAACTGGTGTGAAATGGTTATATGATCTGGAAAAAAAAACGTCAAGCACAATACCGCTGGCATTTTTATTCAGTACATGTAGGTGAAAATGTTTGATAAGGTTTTACGTCGCACCAACACTTTAAAGGTAATATGGCGACCTTCCAGCCTCATTTGTGGAGGAAAGACCTCAGGTGCCTCTCTGTGCATTATTTCAGGCACAAACATGCACCTGAGTAGAACCACTGATGTACCGTAATCTATCTGGATAACTTCCTCACATAAAAGAATGGAAAGTCCCTTGCGGTATTCGAACCCACAACGGTGAGTGGCAAGTGGTTTGAAATAAATGACCTAAGTCACTTGGCACTTTTAAATGTCAGCACTCAACTTTCACACTGCTAAATTTATGTATAGATTTGCCCTGCATTTGAATTTGGAATGATAAATTGTTAATTTCAAGGAACTTATGATAAGAAAATGTTTAAAAAAACCCAACTAGGCATCCAATTACATCTATAGAGTTATGATATGAAAATGCTTTAAAAAAAAAACCTATCTAAGCAGTCACCAGTGCACAGCCTGGTGAGAGTGCATGAGTTTTCGTGCTGACCTGACTCTATACTGGTGACAGTGGTCTGTTATTATCACAGCTAGTTCTCTGAATGTTAACACAAAAAGTATTAAGGATGACAACCTGCTCAACATAATAATACATTATATTAAACAAGTGAGTATTGAATTACATAAAATACATCTTTTAAAAATAAACAATGTTTTATTTAACATTCAGGCAATATCTAACACTATACAAATCTACTATAATTGTGAATTCCATCAAACTTATGTCAAAAATGTGTCAATCTGGACTTTTTTTATTTATAGATTATTCAATCTGTTATCATTATGGAAGATTGGGAAACCAAATGTGTAGCCTCAATAAATAAAGCCTTTACTTACTTACTTATTATACATGCAGATATAAACTCAATTCAAACCCCAAGGTAACACAAATATTCTTATTTATGAGCATTTTTTGTTTTACAAAGACAAAATATGAAAATAAGTCTGTATTTTCCCATGTTGAAATGTTCTGACTTATCTTAATTCCAAGTTAACACATATATTTTTCTAAATTTTCTTCTTTTTTTTAAAACCCTTTTGTCGGGACTAAAGCCAGATTTATACAAGTATCAATTTCTTCACAGCTTTACCCACAAGTACCTCTTAACACATATTCCAAGCAGGATTAAGTATTAGGGCAAAGACAATGACAGTTTTGTTTCCAAGGTAGTGGATAGCATCTTAAATCAGTATCCTTTTTAACTTATTATTACTTTTAACTACATAACATTTAATACTTAGCAAACAAAAAAAGCTACAACAACAAAATTCAACCAAAATCATGATGTGCTTCAAACAAGTCAGACCTAATTTTTTTTTAGCAGAAACTTCCTATTGCTAGAGTTACCACAACATTTAATTTCATTGAATTTTAAAATGAAAATAGCTACTATATAAACAATCAGTGCAGAATATTTGATAACAACACAGTACCACAATGCATTCCTTTTGCCATTGACCTTTCAATTAAACAACCCATTTTCTATAAAGCAGCTGAATAGCATCTTGACATGCAGTAATTTTACTTTACTATTGACTAGCTGGACCAGATTTTGGCATACACATACTAAAATAAAGACTAATAAATCACCTGAAACCACCTTACAACATGAAATACTGATTGCACCTAATAAAGTGTGAATTACAGAATTTCCTAGCTATATAAATAATCAAGTACACATGTCAAGATGACAATGCGATAATGTAAAAAGCACAATGACTGCAATGATTTCGCATTCTTCAGAATATTGTTGTTTTTTTTGGAACACATATTAGTAGATTGTCAACAATATCTCTCCACTTTGTAAAAGCTGACAGTGTGTTTTACAGCGGTTGGTTTCAGGCTTTTTGGTTGGCTTTTTGTTGGCTTGGTAAACGGGACAAAAAGCCTGGCCGAAGTGACAAGACTTCTATGGTGATTTTTTAGTGTACAAACTAGATGGTGAATTTTTCTACGATAGGATCATCAACTCGGCTCTATGTCAATGTGCCGTATTTCTGGAAACTTTTTCTGAAAAGATAAAAAAATAATTTTTTTAAACACTTATAAAATGTTATTATGTAGAGGCTAAGAGGGCCACCTAACCATTATTCTTGTGCACTTTGGTCAAAATCCATCTTGTGGTATAGGAGATGTTGTTAAAAGAGCTTGTAGGTAACAACGTACGATGGACAACTGACACACACAGCTCAAGTGAGCAAAAAATGCTGTTTTTCTTTAAAGCTACAAACAGCCATAACTCAAACATCCCAGGGTGGATTTGTATGAAACTTATTGACCCTTATCTCCATATTCATATAAAATTTCCTGACAAAAATAAAGAAAATTCAGCAGGGGACGAAAATAAATTATATAATTTATAGAAGCATTACAAGCATCCGGATAACACAGAAGATTGAGAAGAACCAGAAATGAGGGCCTGTCAGTCTACAGTTGGACAGCAAGACAGCATGATGGACAGACAATGACAAATCTATATCCCCCAACTTTAAGTAGTGGGAGCATAAATATGGGAGTGTAAAATCCATACCTTTATATCTCTTTCCTTCCTATCTACATGTGCGACTATCTGATCATATATCTGAGAACCAAACTCCTCTAGAAACACCTCCATTTCCTCTGTTGTATGTACACTCTTCCATTTCTGAAATTATTTTTTTTTCAGAAAGTAGTACTTATATACTGAGGGTTTAAAATGTAATGGGTACTATTATAAAATCAGCAAGGATAGAAATAAAAGTTACCATCTTGATATAAAACAAAAAGCATGGTAACAAAATTCTATAGTTTGATGTACTTTTTTTAGTTCATTTAGTTTCATTTTAATTCTTTTTTGGTTGTGTGTGGGGGTGGGGGGAGGGGTTATCTGAAGGGGGTTGAAGTAATAACACATTAAAAGTTATTTTGTGTTTTTTTCCCTATCTTTACAGAAAGAAGGGAGGCAACCTTAGATTGCCGGGAAACCATATTTTAGGTAAAAGAGTGCACCTGATTAGAAATAGAGACAAGAAACATGGCAATGCCATGAAACCAGGTTTTCAATTATCACCATTGAAGATAAATATGTTGTATTTGAAATACAAATACAAGCAACAAACAATGTAACTTTGTGCAATGTAAAACATGAATAATGTAGGAGGAATTGCCACAGAGGAAGTTTTCACTATAATTATATTCTGTATAAGGAAAAATAACAAAGGGCCATAATTAAATAAAAATTTATTCAATCACAAAACCCCACATATGCGCCAGGGCACTGGATAAAAAAGCTACTGTGAAAGTTTGAACAAAATCCGTCGAGAAATGTAGGAGTTCAGCACAAAAGAATTTTTTCACTATATATTCTGTATGAGGAAAAATAACAAAGGGCCATAATTAGGTCAAACAAAATCCCGATAATGTGCCCCAGGGCACTTGATGACAAAGCCTCTGTGAAAGTTTGGTCAAAATCTGTTGAGAAATGTAGGAGAAGTTGAGCATGGTGAAAATTGTTCACTATATAATCTGTATAAGGAAAAAAAACAAAGGCCATAATTAGGTCAAATATTATCCAATCACAAAACCCCGATGATGTGCGCCAGGGCATTTATAACAAAGCTTCTGTGAAAGTTTGGTCAAAATCCATGTTGAGAAATGTAGAGAAGTTGCGCATGGTAAAAATTGTTCACTATATAATCTGTATAAGGAAAAAAAAAAAGGCCATAATTAGGTCAAATATTATACAATCACAAAACCCTGACAATATGCCCTAAGGCACTTGATGACAAAGCCTCTGTGAAAGTTTGGTCAAATTCCGTTGAGAAATGTAGGAGGAGTCGCGCACAGAAAATCGTTCACTATATATCCTATATTGGGGAAAAAAAAAAAAGGGCCATAATTAGGTCAAATATTATCCAATTACAAACCCGACAATATGCGCAAGGGCACTTGATTACAAAGCCTCTGTGAAAGTTTGGTCAAAATCCATTGAGAAATGTAGGAACAGTTGGGCACAGAAGAAGTTATTCACTATATATTCTATATAAGGAAAAAAAACAAAGGGCCATAATTAGGTCAAATATTATCCAATCACAAAACCCCGACAATATGCGCCAGGGCACTTGATGACAAAGCCTCTGTGAAAGTTTGGTCAAAATCCATTGAGAAATGTAGGAACAGTTGGGCACAGAAGAAGTTATTCACTATATATTCTATATAAGGAAAAAAATCAAAGGCCATAATTAGGTCAAATATTATCCAATCACAAAACCCTGACAATATGCGCCAGGTCACTTGATGACAAAGCCTCTGTGAAAGTTTGGTCAAAATCCATTGAGAAATGTAGGAACAGTTGGGCACAGAAGAAGTTATTCACTATATATTCTATATAAGAAAAAAAATCAAAGGGCCATAATTAGGTCAAATATAATCCAATCACAAAACCCCGACAATATGCGCCAGGTCACTTGATGACAAAGCTTCTGTGAAAGTTTGGTCAAAATCCGTTGAAAAATGTAGGAGGAGTTGCGCACAAGAAGAAATTGTTTACGCCGCCCGCCCGTCCGCCGCCCGCCCATCCGCCCCGCCGACATACCTCAATCTAATAACCAGTTTTTTCCTTCGGAAAACCTGGTTAAAAATATATGCAAGGGATTCAAAGTCATCAACAATATCCACAGGACCGCCAAACCCCCTTCAATTAGTAATTTAACAACATAGTCATATATACATAACTATGATAAGGAATGGAGTGACAAGATTTAAAATTCTGCTCAGATCAGTTAATTCATAATTATATTATTAAGCCAATACGGCTCTGTGTAAAGGGAGGTAATACTGACAGAAACTTTAACAAAATAATGGAAAAATCAATCCTTGAACCTATTACATTCAGTATCCAACGCAAAAATTCATAGATTGTGTAACATTATTATATTATTCTATATCATATAGGTACTTAATGTATTAGGTACCCTATTAAATTTTTTATCAACTTTTATGACCAATGGTTGTTTGTTTAAATACATTCAGCTCCAGATTTTAGTCATATGATGGCACAAGAAACATTGTTCATTGATTCTCTCACAGTACTTTATCTGATTTTCTAATTTTGGCAAGTAACTACAAATGTATTTACTGTCTGCAAATAAATCATTTGAAACAGTGGTGAAGGATGTGATAAAATATAATTGAGTTGTCATCAAGAAAAAGGATGTGCCATACAAAGCTGACACTAGACTAGAACCCAGTATCTATTCTAGGATTTGAAAAACAGGGGTGATTTAATCAAAAAGTGAGAATTTATTACATTTGTTGATCTTTTTTCCTCCCCTCTCTCTGTAAAATCCCTCCCTGCTTCTGACAAAAAAGCAGAAGGGGGGAGGGGGAGGAGGGATTTGAGTGGAGTGAATTCCCCCATCCCCCCTCCTAGAAGAAACTGGAAGCACTGGTCCTTTGTAAGTTATCTGGTGAGCATCGTCTCATGGGAGAATAAAATTTCCCATACAGAATACAAACTAACAGATCTCAAGGTTGAGTGATTTCAAGTCAAAAACCTTATTCATTCCATAACCTTTGTTTTAATTTATACAGAATTTATTTCAGTTTAATGACACACTCTCTAACCAACCAGTACTGAGCAATGAGTGTAAAGTTTCTTGCTCCGAAAATGTGTATTCCGGAGACAATATCTTGATTAAAAAGTCACCATGAGCTATGATATCAAATAAAACAAGTGTAAACTCACCACAAGCATGGCATCTAAATCTACCTCTGTGTTCAGGAAATGTTTTGTGATCAATTTGGCATCTAGTACAACCTCCGACTTAAAGCGGCTCTCATCTCCGAAATCTAGCGTCTTATTGTCCAGCACAGCATTGACAAATCTGTCACTTTCCATGTATTTCTTGATCTCTGCCTCGTATGGTAATGCTCTGAATATACATAATATATGAGCTGTGTCATGACAAAACCAACATAATGGGTTTGCGACCAGCATGGATCCAGACCAGCCTGCGCATCCGCGCAGTCTGATCAGGATCCATGCTGTTCGCTTACCCACTCTACTACAAGTAGAGAAACTGATAGCGAACAGCATGGATCCTGATCAGACTGTGCGGATGCGCAGGCTGGTCTGGATCCATGCTGGTCGCAAACCCACTATGTTGATTTTGTCATGACACGGCTCATATAAATGTTATATGAATTGTCAGTAGATGTCATGAAAACTAGAAAATGTGTCCATAGAACAAGGATGCCCCCACGTTCCTTTGTTTTGTCTGTCTATGAAGGGAAAGCATGGCAATGGGATGAAGGGACAAATTCAAATCTGCATGCACCCTACTACCAGTCACTCAAACCTTGACATTATTTACATAACCACAATAAACTGTGCAGGGCTGCCTTACTCAATACCAGATATTGACATTATCACCATTTCTGGGCTAAGATGTGGAGGTCTGCATAACTCAATACCAATAGCACTTTAAGGCCCTGACATCACCAAAAGGATCTTAAGATGTGCAAGTCTGCCTAACTCCACCATACCTGTGGCATTATTACTGTATTGCAAGCATGTTAAGATGTGCAGACTTAACTGCCTTTTTATTGGTGGCAAAAGCACAGACATGAATAGTGTGCTTAAAATGAAATGAAATACTTTTTTTCTTTTTCTTTGTGCAATGCCTCATAATCACTTGTCAAAAGCTATAAACTTTTAAATGGCTGTACTTCCAATTAGAAAATATTTTATACACATAAAACATGTATATAAATATATCTATAAAATATGACAAACTATATTTCTCATAAAATTTCATCAGCAAAGTTTGAACATCTGTGTAAAATCATATGATTTTGACTAAAGTGACATTTGTGAAAATAATTATTTTAAATTTTTATAAAAATCTGCTGATAAATAAAAACCTTTTAAAAATTTTTCTTTTTTCCCCTTCTTTTTATGACAATCAAAAATAATTTTTGATGAGCAGCTTTAAAATATGTTTTAAGAAATATTTTTTTAATATTTCAAAAACTAAATTTTTTTAATAATTTTATGATTATTATATTTCCCACCTTTTAAAAAGGGGATCATACTCCTGGCTTTATTCTTAATCAGTAAAGCCTAATCAGACAGGCCTAACTCGTTACCGCTGGAGCATGGTCAGACTGGCTTAACTCTTTACCACTAAAGCATGATAAGACTGGCTTAACTCTTTACCACTAGAGCATGGTCATACTGGTTAAACTCTTTACCACTAGAGCATGGTCAGATTGGTTAAACTCTTTACCACAAGAGCCTGTCAGACTGGCTTAACTCTTTACCACTAGAGACTGGCCAAACTCTTTACAACTAGAGCATGGTCAGACTGGCTTTACTCTTTACCACTAGAGCATCGACATACTGGCCAAACTCTTTACAACTAGAGGTCATGGTCAGACTGAGCATTCAGACTGCTTAATCTTTACCACTAGAGCATGAACATACTGGCCAAACTCTTTACAACTAGAGCATGGTCAGACTGGCTTAACTCTTTACCACTAGAGCATGGTCAGACTGGCCTAACTCTTTACCACTAGAGCATGGTCAGACTGGCTTAACTCTTTACCACTAGAGCATGGTCAGACTGGCTTAACTCTTTACCACTAGAGCATGGTCAGACTGGCTTAACTCTTTACCACTAGAGCATGGTCAGACTGGCTTAACTCTTTACCACTAGAGCCTGGTCAGCCCTAACTAACTTTTCCCAAAATAGAGCAGGGCCCAGAACGGGGCCAAAACCTTTTTCCCTTAGACATGGTCAGATGGCCTATTTACCCCCAAAAGGGGTCAAACGGGCCAATTCTTTATAACTAAAGCTGGTAAAACTGGAAAACCCCTTTTCCCCCACAAAGGCCGGGTCAGATGGCCTAACCTTCCACTAAAACCCTGGTCGACGGGCAAACTCTTTCCCACTAGAGAAAGTCAGCCCGGGTTTTTACTTTTTTACCAAAAGAGTTTGGTCGATGGTTTAAACTTTTTTTCCCATTGAGCATGGTCAAAACTGCCAAACTTTTTACCACGGGAAACCGGGTCAGCTGGTTAAACTTTTACCACAAGAGCAGGGCCCAACTGGTTTAGCTTTAACCAAGACCCGGGCCCAAAACGGGCCCAAAATTTTAACCACTAAACCTTTTCAGCTTAACCTTTTTAACCACAACAGCAGGGCCCAGAAGGTTTAAACCTTTCCCCTAAGTGAAATAATTAGACGGGTTTAAAATTTTTACCACTAACCCTGGCCCAAAGGGTTTAAAACTTTAACCACTAAGCATTCAGACTGGCTAAATTTTTTACCATTAAACAGGGTCAAAAGGTTTAAATTTTTTAAACTGAAAAAACCCATTTCAAAAAACGGGCCTTTAAAACTTTTAAACCACTAAACCTGAAAAATGGCTAAAACTTTTTTTTTTTAACTTACCACCCCATGGTTCGAAGGGTTTTAAACTCTTTCCCAACAAAGAAATTTTTTAGACTACCTAACTCTTACCATTTAAACAGGGTAGACGGTTTTAACTTTTACCAAAACAATCCAAAGGCAAAAACCTTTTAACCACAGGCAGGGTCGACGGGCTTAACTTTAAGAATTTTAAAACATGGTCAAAAAGGCTTAACCTTTACCATAGAGCAGGGTAAAACCGGGCAAAATTTTACCACAAAAATGGTCAGACGGGAAAAACCCTTTTTCCCAAAAAGGGGCAGGGTCAACTTTTTTAACCCTTTTACCACTAAAAATGCCCAATGGTTTAACCCTTTTACACAAAGTTCATCTCAGGTTAACCCCTTTACCCTAAAAGCAGGGAAAAGACTGTTTAAACTTTTTCCCAAATAAGCAGCTTCCAGACGGTTTTAAAACCTTTCCCAACAAAACCCGGGCCCCCAGCGGTTTAAACTTTTACATAGGCAGGTTTCGACCCCAAAATTTTAAACCCCCTTAGAGCTCCAGACGGGAAAAAACCTTTTTTCCCACAAAAAGCTTGTCAACGGTTTAATTTTTTCCCCTTTTAAACCCCCTTGAAGGAAGATGGAAACCCAATATCTTGGGCCTTTAACTCTTTCCCAAAAACCCTGGTCAACGGGTTTAAAACCTTTTCCCAAACAAAGAGAAATTTCAGCCCGGGCCTAAACTTTTACCACTGGGCCGGCCCCAGACGGGCTTAACCCTTTAAAAAAACTACAAATTCAGAACTTCCAAACCTTTAATCTAGGGGGGTAAACCCGGTTTAAAATTTTAAACCCCCTTAAGCATTTAAAATTTCCCAAACTAAAAACCCAAATTTCACCAATTTTTTTAGAGAAAAAAAAAAAAACAATTTAAATTTTTAAAATAATTTAAAACCCTTTAAATCCCCCGTAAAAAGGTTAAAATCCCCTTTTCAAAAAAATTTATAAAAAAAACCGTTTTAAAAACATTTTTTAAAAATTTTAAACCCTAAATTTACATTTTAAACCAGGGTAAAGTCCCCGGCCATTTTCAAAAAACAAATTTTTAAAAAAAAATCCAATTTTTCAGTTTCAAAATTTTTCCAAGATTTTCATTTTTAACTTTCCCTTAAAAATTTTTGATAAAAAATTTAAAAAACAATCCTAAAAGAACCCTTTAAAAAGTTTTTAAATCCCCCAAAAACCCTTTTCCTAAAATTAATCCTTTAAAAAATTTTACCCCCAAAAAATTTTTTTAAACCCCTTTTTTTAAAAACAAAACCACTTTTTTCCCATCCTCAAAAATCGGACAAACCCAAATTACACCCCTTTAAAAGAATAAAGGACTACTTTTTCCCCACCTCAAAAATCAAAATTACAGCATTTTTCCCAAAGTCAAGAAAATTTTAAAATTTTAAAAGGGCAATGTTACCCTAATATTGTCAAATAATTGCACACACACACATGAAAAAAGGGGAAAAAAAAGGGTAATACTTGCCAAGTACCCCATCACTTTAGGGGTTTAAAAAATCCCCTGAGACAAAAATCCCAACAAGCATTTTTAAAAACAGTGACCCAAAATTGCACCCAATTTGGGGAAATACCAAAAAGTTTAAACAACAAATAGAGTCAATTAACTGCAACTTGGACAGTGTGACAAACAGGCATTAGAATTCAAACACATATATATACCATTAAAAATTGCCACTAATTAGTTGCAAGACCTTAAACAATTTGAAAAATTTAGTTCAAGATAAAAATATATAATTTTCTATTATTTTTAAGGATGACACATTAATATACCAAAGTTAAAATTTGATATTCCCGCCAGCAGTGTCACCTATGAAAGCTAGACAAGATTTATCAATTCATAGCTCTGGTGGCCATTTTATGCAGCGAAGCAGATTGTGCCAGCAATATATACTGCTAGGGATAGCACTGATCACTTCTGTGAAGTTTGACTGACCTGTGAAGGCCGGAAAACTGAATGCTGACAGGACAGCAAATACAAAAACAATATGTCAAAATTTTTGGGAGACATAATAAGTAAGATATTTCACCTAATACATAACTGCAGGTCATAGCTGTTCCACATATAATCACTCCTAAAACACCAGCTGCATCTTCTAGCAATACAACATTACTTAATGGGTCATCCCCCTCTTTAACTGAAAATATACAACAATACAATGTGGGTCATCCTAATCTTTAACTAAAAAGATACAACAATACTAAGTTACAATGTTTGCCATCAATAAAGGGTCAGGTCTTGTTCAACTCTTTTGATAATTTTATTTTCTAGTGAAAATTTTTTTCTTTACACTTTAACGCTTTCATCTGTTATACGATCTTCCTTTGACTTTTGTCGTTGGCAGTATATAAGCAATGTTTGGGCATTTTCCCCTGCTATATTTAACTTCACTGTTGCGTCTGACTAGACATTGTAGGGAAATGCATTTTCTAAACATTTCTTTCTCTGTCAATATTTACTTTCATATTTCAAGGTTATGAATTATGAAACTTTATAAGAAAATCTGACATTGAGATAAGACTTACCAAATGATATAAAAGACATGCCAGATGCCTTGATATAAATCTGACATTGAGATAAGACTTACCAAATGATATAAAAGACATGCCAGATGCCTTGGCTTTCTTTGAGATTTCTAATATTGCATAGCCTAATGATGCTGAAATAGACAAGAACATTTTACGTTATCATTCAATGAAATAAATGTAATACATGTACCATCGTCTGAATCCACGGTCCACACTTCATATATACTACATTTAATATTTACCGATACATGTATACGGTAAATAGCCTGGGTTACCAAGGATGTACATGTACAAGTTTGGGCATTATACGTACTGGGCAGTTTAATCTTTTCCTTTTGAAAACTAGCTATTAAAAAGTCATTTACTTCAAAGCAAAATTTTAAGTACATATTAAAAATGCAATATGTTTCTGTGAAACTTCAAAATAATGCCTGCATGTGCCTAACACCTTATATGTTGACAAGAGTGCAAAGGGGGAGGAGCAAAGCAATACCTTATGTGGTGAAAGAATTGGTAATGGGGAGGAGCAAAGCAGCACCATATACAGTGACAGGATTGCTAATGGGGAGGAGCAAAGCAACACCATATACAGTGACAGGATTGCTAATGGGGAGGAGCAAAGCAGCACCATATACAGTGACAGGATTGCTAATGGGGTGGAGCAAAGCAACACCTTATACAGTGACAGGATTGCTAATGGGGAGGAGCAAAGCAGCACCATATACAGTGACAGGATTGCTAATGGGGAGGAGCAAAGCAGCACCATATACAGTGATAGGATTGCTAATGGGGAGGAGCAAAGCAGCACCATATACAGTGACAGGATTGCTAATGGGGAGGAGCAAAGCAGCACCATATACAGTGATAGGATTGCTAATGGGAGGAGCAAAGCAGCACCATATACAGTGACAGGATTGCTAATGGGGAGGAGCAAAGCAATACCTTATATGGTAGCTAAAGTTCTTTTTAAGGGGGAGGAGAAAAGCTACACCTCAATATGGTAAAAAGAATGCTGTGCAGTTTGAACAACACATAATACAGTAGCAAGAGTGCTGAGGAGAAAGGGCAATATATGACCAAAGGTAAAGTTTGAACATGAAGAAATCTTACACACTTTATTATAATGTACAGACAGACCAAGAGTCAGATGGACAATATCATACCATAACATGTATTGAATATACTTTAGGTGTATAACAATACAGTGAACTAATTCTAGTTACAGAATCATGTTCATAACAGAGATTGAAGATTTAATTGTCAAAGCAATACTTTCTGTGAATTGAGAAAAGAAATTCTGTACATTTTAAAATATATATTAATATATAAATGAGACTTTACCTGATTCTGTAGCAAATGTTCCTGCTAACACATACATGGCCTAAAAAAATAAACATAAGACAGCTCAGTAAAATGTAACTTTATGCCACTTTTATGTAACTTTGTTACTTCAAATGTGGGCTCAGTAAAATATAACATTATATAAACATTTCTGTTACATTTTTATTTCAAATAAAATATCAAACTACATTTAAAACTTTAAATTTGTTTGTTTGTTTGATTGGGTTTTATGCCACATCAACACAGTATAGGTTATATGGCGATGTTCCAGCTTTACCGGTGGAGAAAGACCTTAGGTGCCCGTCTGTGCATTTTTTCAGGCATGAAAGGGCACCTGAGCAGAACCACCCTTAAAACTTTAAAAGCAGGGCAAATCCATTTAAGAAATTCAGCAGGCTAAGTGTTAATTAAAATTCTAAACATAAAGTACATAAATAGCAATAATACTATACTTCAGTAAACACAGTTAAAGGGAGACAACTCTATGTGTAACTATAATTACCCATTTTAAACTATTATGGTCAATAACGATTGGGTTGAAGATTCCCAGAATGCCATGATACAACGTGAGACCACAACCTACACTGAAGATGAAACCTCCACTCAGAATTGACATGATATGTACATGATTTTTGTACCCGTACCTATATAGAAAATAGCAAAATATGAAAACATCAATTGTACTGTAACAAAATCATCTATCTATCTTAGAACAGATACATACATTCATTTCTAATTTCTACTATACATTTAAACAAGAGGGCCATGATGGCCCTGAGGTCGCTCACCTGTTTAAAGGCCCCCCCACCCCCGGGCCAATTTTTACCCAAGGGCTTTTATTTGTTTATTTGAACAGACTTGGTAGACACCCATAAGAAGATGTTTCATGCTAAACATCTAATTTCTAGATCATTGGGTTTTTTAAAAGAAGATTTTTAAAGTTTTTACTATACACATATAGTTAAAAAAAATGACACCCCTGGGGCAGGGCCAGTTTTGACCCCCGGGCTTTTATTTGAACAAACTTTGTAGATATTTACTTAGAGATGTTTCATGCTTAATATCTAAACTCTAGCTATTTGGGTTTTTTCAAAGAAGATTTTTTAAGTTTTTGCTATACACATATAAGGAAAATCAATGACCCCCCCACCCGGGCGGGGCCAATTTTGACCCCAGGGCTTTTATTTGAACATACTTGGTAGACACCCATTAGAACATGTTTCATGCTAAATATCTTAGCTCTAGCTCTTTGAGTTCTTTAAAAGAAGATTTTTTAAGTTTTTACTATATGCATATAGGGAAAATCAATGACCCCCTGGGGCGGGGCCAATTTTGACCCAAGGGCTTTTATTTGAACAAACTTGGTAGACACTTATTAGAAGATGTTTCATGCTAAATATCTTAGCTCTAGCTCTTTGGGTTCTTTAAAAGAAGATTTTTTAAGTTTTTACTATATGCATATAGGGAAAATCTATGACCCCCTGGGGCGGGGTCAATTTTGACCAAGGGCTTTTATTTGAACAAACTTGGTAGACATTCACTAGAAGATGTTTCATGCCAAATATCTAAGCTCTAGCTCTTATGGTTCTTTAAAAGAAGATTTTTTAAGTTTTTACTATATGCATATAGGGAAAATCAATGACCCCCGGGATGGGGCCAATTTTGACCACAGGGCTTTAATTTGAACAAACTTGGTAGACACTCACTAGAAGATGTTTCATGCTTAATATCTTAGCTCTAGCTCTTTGGGTTCTTTAAAAGAGGATTTTTAAGTTTTTACTATATGCATATAGGGAAAATCAATGACCCCCTGGGGCGGGGCCAATTTTGACCCAAGGGCTTTTATTTGAACAAACTTGGTAGACATTCACTAGAAGATGTTTCATGCTTAATATCTTAGCTCTAACTCTTTGGGTTCTTTAAAAGGAGATTTTTTAAGTTTTTACTATATGCATATAGGGAAAATCAATGACCCCCTGGGGCGGGGCCAATTTTGACCCCAGGGCTTTTATTTGAACAAACTTGGTAGACACTCACGAGAAGATGTTTCATGACAAATATCTAAGCTCTAGCTCTTGGGGTTGTTTAAAAGAAGATATTTAAAGATTTTTCTTTCGGTTGCCATAGCAACCAGAGTTCTGCATGGAATTAAATTCTTTGAACAATTTTTAAAGGTGACCACCAAAGGAACATTCCTGTGAAGTTTGGATGAAATTGGCTCAGTGGTTTATGAGGAGATGTCATTTAAAGCAAAAGTTTATGGACGGTCGACGGACGGACGGACGGACGGACGGACGCCGGACGAAAAGCGATCACATAAGCTCACCCTGTCACTTTGTGACAGGTGAGCTAAAAAAAAAGTAAAAAAAGGCTAACAAATAAAACAGCCAAAAATTAAAAATGAGCTAAAGTAATCAAGTTACAATGTAATTGACAAAATTCTGTGCTGTCATTTTTAATTAAGAAGTTCAAAAAATGATAATGAGTGATTGATTGAGCTTATTTTCTTAAAGAAGACCATAAATACATGTACTAGGAAAGCATATTACAATGTACAATGTTTCTGTTCATTTTTAAAAACAACAACAAAACTTTGAACATGACTAAATTTGTGACATTGTTCAAGACTGACAAATGTGTCCAATTTTAAATTTTGTTTGGTTTTACGACATACCAATGTAATTTAGGTCATATGGCATCAAAACAGGAAAGATAATTTTGGCTAACCTAAGGTGTTACTAACTTAAAGCAACACCAGGGGTCCAAACCACCTCACCAGCTTGAGGTAAGATATGAATAGAATTAAGTAATTTGAACCCATTTATTTGCCTCTTATGACATGAATGATCATGCAGGAATAAATGGTGGCTGCAATTCTGAAGTCTCAACCCTTAAAGGTAACCCCTCAGCTACAACAGGGAAGATTTTTTAAAAAGTTTTTCACACATAAGAATCTCAAGAATTGGTCATGGCTAAAGTTGTACCAAATACTTACGGATGACTAGGGTCTGGATGCTTAAGAGACAAATACCTCCCTATAGCCAGAAACATCTGAAAACAAATATATATATATACATGTATATTAACCCTGAATAAAACACCTGCATACTTCATCAAAACCTTTATTTGTTCTTCCTATTACTTTTGACTATAGAAAGTATTTTAATACACAAAACATTTTGAAAATTGTTTCAGATTTTGAGATCTTACAATTTAAAGACCCAACTTATGGTGCCTTGCTTATTAAAGTGACATTATGCCCATTCAAGTGAAAAAGGTAAGTGTATGAGTAAAAGTTAAAAATACTCTTAAAATCACACAATTATTTTTCTATTTTATATTCTTCCTCATTATTAACATGACAAACTGTCTTCATATCTTGGCAAAAGATCCACCCATCCGAATTTTCTAGATAACTAAGTAATTAATAATTTCTCTGCACATGACTGACAACTACTCTTTTATGATTTCAATGTCAGTAGTAATGTCAGTAGTGACAGACAGAAAACCATTAGTTTCAATGTCTGAGAAAATTGTCACAGGAAAATCAATGCTCTCCCTGTTGAACTATGTGGGTAAACTGGACTCCACTAATGAAAAAAATTTCTTAGTTTTCTAAATCACCCATATGGATTTTTCCTGGAGGCTATGAAGAAAACAAAATTTAACACACAACAAATTGAAACAAGACAAGATATGACGGACAGACATTATTTAGGCCACCTTATTTCTGTCTCAATTTAAGTTACCTGATTAACTGTATCTCCACATGAATGCATAAACTCTGAAAACATACTGGGTGATCCTGTCAGAATCCATACACCACCTTTAAAGCCTGCATTAAACATATTCCTGCAAGAAAAACCAAACATTCTTATTATTCTATTTCCACAGAATTGATCAAGTTTTAAGTCACACTGATTTTATAATATTGTCTCAATTATTGGGACTTTCCAGCATCACAGATCGGGGACGTCCACACGTGTCTCTGCACATATTATTTCAGGCACAAGAGCCTACATGAGTAGAATTACTTATGTTCCATAAGCTATATGGAAAGCTTATTCATATCTTAATCTGCCCCAACTAGACATGAATAGCCTTTATTATGGAAATACAACCAGTTCAGTTGTTATGCTCTGAAGTCATTTACTTTGTTCTACTCAAATTGTTCTTATTTTTAATAAATCCAGTCATGTTTGCCATTTATCAGCATTTTCATGAACCAATTTTTTTCGCTGGACATCACATAGGTAAGATTGGAAAATAATGTGGTATTCATTATGGTATCTTGTTCATACTGTGATATACCATGTTGTGTGTTTTACTTGTGGTACTTCCAAATTCTTTAGTATTATTCTGACAGATAACATATTTTGTTGGAATGTTAGTGGTTTCTTTTTTTCATGTCTAGCTTAGTTTATACAAATTTATTTTAGTTCAATTATGTTGAAAGCTGAAAGCCTAATGAAGAACTTTCAAATCCATTCCTGGAACCAACTAGTACTTAGCTATGAATGTAAAGGGTTTTGCTCAAGGAAACAATGGGTTCCTCATGATGGGGTTTGAACCCACGCAGCCAGCAATCCTAAGATTACTAGTCCGACCTGTTAGCCTCTCGGCCATGCCAAAACACATTATTTCTATAACATTTCTTTTTCAATTAGCAGAGTAAACGTTGAAACATTGTCAATATGAGAATTTTCAAGCAGACCTTAAATAAGATATTGTTTATCTTTGATTCTGCTACCTTCCTACAAAAATCACTGCTTTCAAAAAAAAAAAACTTACAGAAAAAAAAACCGAACTGGGATATATGTTGAACAAAACTTTGGATCTAAACTTTGAACAGATATTCAGCATTTAAATTTTTGGGCAAAATCCATATTCAGTCATTGTAGTTCAGTTATAAATACTTTTCCTACCCCACCCCTCCCAGATCGGCAAAGGTTGCCGGTGGGAATGCAGAGATATTTTCAAAAATGGCCTTAAATAAGTCATTCAGGGAATAGAAGAAAAACAGCAATCATTTCTGTAAAAGGATGGGGGCTGTAAAAAATAGACAAAAGACCAGCCAGGTGAGGACTACAAATAACAACTTACAT